TAGAGAGAGAGAGAGAGATATATATATATATATATTATAAGTGCTGCACACCTGATTGTCGCGTTGTCTGGCTCGTTGTGTCATGTCCATGCGATCTTTGAGCAGTTCATAGACAGTAGTCTTTCCGGGAGTCTCAGTCTCGGTCACTAATCGATCCAATTTTAGAGTTTTAGGATTTTAGGGTCTTAGGGTATCGAGGGTTTTGGGTTGACGGTAACTGGTATGCAGATAGACAATCGGCTAAAGTGAGAGATTGCAATGTACACACACGTACAGTTCGGTACCTTCACCCATGTTCAATAGTATCAGCAGAATAGCTACCACTATCCTCCCGGCTTAATATACTACAAATAGCACTCTTGAGTACCAATTATGTACTTATAAATGACCCAAGGTTTTGCATACCGCATATTTAAGGAATGTTCTAACATACACACTTACGTATTCTCTCTCTCCTACACTATACGTGTGTCTGTTTTAGAGTTTTAGGGTTTTACTGTTCTTACCTACTAAGTCGTCCATCCCCACATCTTCCTCCGTCCGTCTGTTGTCTGGGGCCAGTGGTGACAGCATGGACGTGGCGCGTGTGCGGCTGTTCGGTACAGAAAGATCATTCTCCGTCTCATCCGCCGCACACAGCGAAATAGGCAGCTGGGGGGTAGACCACCGGTTACTACGCATGGTCTGAGTGCAGGATATGGGGTGGGTACAAGATGGGTGAGTACAAGATGGGTGGGTACAGGGTAGTGTGAATATGAGAGGCAAATGATAGGCAGGTCAAGTGGAAGAGAAGGCTCTCACAGTTGAGGGTTTGGCTACCGATTACTACGCATGAGATGAGTGGGTGTGCACATGGTACCAGGAGATGAGATCGATGCAAGCGATGCAAATGACACGCAGATTGATAGCACAAGGGACGATAGAGGAGTGAGAAGTGAGATGAGATAGTGGATATAATAGATATATATATCCGATCATATCATAGGAAAGTATTGAGACAAGGGACTGTAAAAGAGTGAGAAGTGAGAGGAGATATATATATATATATATATATATATATATATAACACACACACACATATATATATATATACATACATATATATATATA